TACAAATAATAACATCAATTAAAGTCATTTTGCTTTTATAATAATCTTTACAAAAAAAAAAATATTATAATTTTTTTGTTTTATTTTTTGTTTAGATTTTTTATTTTTATTTTCATTTTTTTTCCAATAAGAAAATTAATTGACAATTGCAAATCAATTATATTTCTTAAAATAAAATATCTAATTATCTTTAATAATTACAAAAAAAATGGCACTTGTATACAATATATGAAAATATACTTATATAAATATAAATAATCTAAATTAATATAATCATTCATATTTAAATGAGCTAAAAAAAATTATAATAAAAAATAATTTATAAAAAAAAATATCAATAGAAAAAATAACGATATAATTAATATAAATATTAATTTATATAAATTTAAATTTATAAAAAAAGTTATAGATACATATTTTTATTATATTTTAATTAATAATAATTTAAATATGTTTATAAATCTATTCCATTATATAAATTTTCTTATAAGCGAATAATTATAGTATAACAATTGATAAAAATATGTTTCAACAAAAAATAAAATGAAAATCTAGAAATATTAATATAGATATATGTTGATATTTTTCTTTGCAAATGCCTCAGTATAGCAAAATTATATTTAACATAAAGTTCACAATAAATAAAAATAAATCTTGACAAGAAATTGGTGCTTTTCAAACATTCCGCATATCATGTATGCGCATAGACGCAGCATATATTGACATGCTATGTACGATCAGATTTTAAGGCTGTGTGGTCAATAAAATAATGAAACGAAATAATTCATGATCTTTTTTAAACTTATCCTCTTTTATGAAAAAATAATATATTTTATAAAAATATAAAATATATATATAAATATAAAATATATATAAAATAATATAGAATACTAAAATTATGTAACAAATATAAAAATTTCAATACAAAAATCAATATATTTATATATATATATAAATTTATATATTTTTAATTTATCATTATTATTAAATAAAATTAATGCTAAGTTATCATTTGACTTTAAAATAAATCATTTTTATTTGTCTTTTTTAAAATTAATATTAAACAATAAAGTATTGACAATATATACAGTTATAAAAATATTTTATTTATAAATTTTGTTTACAAATTTTTTTGAGTGAAATATAAAAATGCATTAACAGGAATGAATAAATTATAGAATAATAAGTTATATAAATCATTGCAATACATTCATACTTTTTGCACATATTAAAAATAAAAAATTAGATGATTAAATGCATAAATATCAAATATTTTAAGTAATTAATTATTCATATAAGAATTTATGTGTTCAAACATATTAATAAACATTCCTGTTTATGTACAAAAATAATATAAACATTTCACATAAATATTATTTTATAAAACTTACAAGAAAATAATATATATTGGTAAAATCTTTGTATTATTTAAAATATAAATTACAAAAAAAAATTTCAAATAAGGCATATAATTTTTATATTATAGAATTTTAATTCATTATTAATAATGAAATAGCATATAGTTTAAAAAGTTTTTGATTAATAAGTAATATTAAATATTATTTATAGCAAAATAAATCAGTGCATTATTTAAAAAAATATGTTATATACAAAAAAATATTTTCCTATATTTTAAATATTTTAAATATAAATATAAAATAATGAAATAAGAAAACATTATATATACCTTTGGTCCATTCTATGTTAAACAATCAATATTTATGTTATTTTCAAAATATTTACTATATACTATTTTATATTAAAAAAACATCTAAACTATTAAACATACATACATTAACAAAGGTAATGCTAAATTATCAACTTGATTTGTTTGTGCTTCGACAAATGACAGCACAATACTTAATAATAAACTTCGCAAAAATAACCAACCACTATCTATGTAACCTATTACAAAAATATATATATTAATTTTAAGATATAATAATTTCATATATTTAATTTTAATTTATAATATGTAAAAAATAATGTTTTATTTTATTATTTTATTTAAAAAAAAAATGATTTCTTTATATATATATTCTTTATATCTTTTATATATATATTCTTTATATATATTCTTTATATATATATATAAATATATATATTAAATTTAATTATAAAAATAAAAACTTATAAACTTATAAATTTATAAGAATCTAAAAAAAATGTTTTAAATGTTTAAATATTACATACCCATAAATGTTAGAAAACATATTAATCCAATTTGAGTAAGAAAACAAGCAATTGTTCCTTCAAAAGATTTATTTGAATTGGTCCATTTGTGAAAGCCCCATTTACTACCAATAAAACTAGCAGCAGTATCACCCACACCAACTGTTAAAATACCACTGAGCAAAATTAATAATGAAAGATTATTGGTAGGCATCCAAAGTGGAAAAGATAAGCCACAAAATAAATATAAAGGCGTTAAAGAAATCAAATTATCTTTTTCATCAGCAAACACAGAAAATCCTTGTTGTAATATTTTCCCAAGAGGTGGTATTTGTAAATATCTTATCAACTAAAAATAAGAAATTTAAGAATATTATAAACATATTAAAAAAAATGTAATTTTTTATTAAGCATAGTTATATACCTCGAGAAATACAAATAATCCCATTATTATACCACTAGCTAGATATAGTAATGTACGTTCATATATTAAACCAGGTATATACACAAGTACAGCTAATAAATGAAACATTTTTCTAGTTGAAGTTGTTGCTTGAAGATTTATTAATATTTGATATGTAACAACTGTTATACCTAATAATAAACATATAATCCAATATCCAATTAAGATGATCTGTAATATTTGCAAGTATTAAAAATAATTTCATATTCATATAGTATGTACTGTAAATTATTATTATTAACCTTATTCGTTTTACTACAGAAATAAAATATCCAAATCAAAGGATTTTGATCCAATAAGATATACATTAATGGTATAACAATTGTTAAAAGACTAATAGCCAATATATAAAAATTTTTAGTTGAATTAAACATTGGAAAATAATTAGATATTAAACATACTGATATTACATATAGCATTATAACCTGAAAGTATATTTTTTAATTACTTAATCACATCAAATTTATTGAAATAAAAAATTCCCTTTAAAATACCTGTAAAAAAACTGTTGCAATATCATTATCATGGATTGGTGGCAAATGATATCTTAAGGGCAAATTTGTTACCACAGATATAAGAAATAAAATACACCCATGCATAGCTGCTGTTGCTTCTCCGATTGTAAAACAATAAGGAAATATAGACATCAATTGAAGAATGCCCCAAGTTCCTAAACTACTAACACTTAAGCCCCATATGACACTCATCAATAGTCCTGTTCTTATATATGAATGAATAAAACAATTTTAACTAAAATAATGATTTTATAAAATATTAAATAAAAAATATTTACATAAAATATAATATAATATTATGATATTATAAATTTTATAAATCACATTCATGTAAAATTTTTTTTAATTTTTTAATTTAGCTAATTGATTATATTATAAGATATGACAAAAAATTATTAATAACAAAATAATATTTATAAATTGTACCTTTATTTGCAACAAAAAGATATAATAAGGATGTTATTATAGCTGGTAAAAAATATATAGCTTGAAAATCTTTAACTGTTATTTTTTCACTTGATAATCTCAAATATAAACATATAGAACTAATAATAAGACCAATTCCTGTGAGACCCACAATTAGACAGATTTCAGAATAACTAGTATCTTCTTCTAATAGAGTTAAAATTGCGCTTAGACCTATTAATGTTCCAAGCCATAATCCAGTATTAGCTTTTATCCTAAAAATATTTTTCATAATTTTATAAAAATTTTAATGATTATAAATTTTCATAAATATAAATATAAATATTATATATATTGATAATATCATTATAGTTATATTTATAAATATAGATATCAGACATATAAATATTTTTAAATTATATATAATTTTGAATATTATATAATATAAACATAATATATGGATAATTATAATTATAATTTTAAAAAAAGCAAAAAAATAAATTTATTTTTATTTAGATCAATTGATCAAAAATATTTTATAAGAATTTAAAAATATGTTTAACATTCCATATGTATTTGTTTACTTAATTTATTTTTAAATATACATATGTCTATATTATTGAAAGATATTCATTAAATAATACTTGGAAAGACAGAAAATTGAGTATATTAATATATATTATAAATATTTAAAAAAAACAAACTTTATTTCTTTAAATATTACATAATTTTTAACGAATATATAAAATATAAACATATCAAATAATCAATATTCTAAAACAAACTTTGAGGTTAAATCACATCAATTTTTATGTTTATATAATAAATAATGAACATACCGATGTTTTATGCCATTATCTTTCAAACTATGTAATATCCTTTCTTCAAAATATCTATATTTTCTTAAAAGAAATTCCATTGTTGATAAGGAATTAAAAAAAAATATACGTTTTTACACCATTAACCACACCCGCAAACATTTGACATGAAAAATGTAATGTTATCTGAAAAGCTTTTTCTGTCATATTTTTTGTTTTCATGTTATGAGAGTATAAAATATATAATAAATAGTTACAAAATAATTTAATTTCATTTTATGCAAATTTTAAAGTTTTATTCTATAATTTTTAATATTTATCAATAATTCATTTATATTTTTGTATTAAATATTACGTTATATTATTATTATATATATTATATTTAT